TGTTATAAATAATTTAATGTATACCATTAAGCAACAATAAACCATTGCTTACGCAAAAACGATTCTGAGCGGAGAGTTGAGTTGATACTGATGTTCTGTTAACAATTTATATGTAATTTTATATTAAAATAATTAAATAGGCTCTTTGATAATATTTGTTTAATGTTGTACCGTTTTTCCTAAATTTTTTCTAAATTTTACCGGGTTTTCCCGTGTTTTATCCCGGTTTTTTATATTTGCTGGGAAAATTCTTAGGAACTCGAAAAATGACCTTCTTAAAGTAACTCTCTACTGAAATTTCCTTTAGAAACATTACTATCATTAAAAGTTGTGCACCAAAAAAAAAAAAAAATAATGCCGCAATGTATTTTAATTAATACCTAAATTTCTTATATTTTTCCTTTTTTTTTTTTTTTCGGTTATTCGGGAGTGTAGTCAGAGGGACCATGGAAGCCATGGCCCTCTCTATTGGCAATATATTTTTTTTAAATACTTTTTCTTATAATTATTTCATGTGTATGTTATTTTATTATGGCGCATGTGGTTTATTTTCCTATTTTATCAATTAAAAGTAAGTATAGTATATTTTTCAATATAATAAAGGATAATAAATTAATAAAATAAAAACAAAGTTTTTAAATGGTTAATACTCGTAAATAATTATATTAATAAATAAATAAATAAACAAATGCGTCGCCTGGAGCATTATGAAATGCGCATTGTACGACCGGCTTTTATCAGTTCGGTGGCCACTTATTTTTTGACTTAATGATTTTATCTGACGGTGCATTTTTAATTCGAAACCGTACAATAAATATTTCATAATACTCCAGGTGTCGCATTTATTTATTTATGTAATAAAGTAGATAAACGTATAATTCTTGGTTGGTTTATTTTGGTTTTGTTTTTTTTTTTTTGTTTAGCCTAACCGTCTCATTAATTTGTATGGATTATATTTTCAGTCGATGCCCGAACAATGATATTTTCTCTTTTTCTCACTGTTAACCAGTTTTTCCACCAGAAATCTTGTTCTGATCATCAACTTCGAGGCTAATTTCTGGCGCCTAGTAAATTGTTTCTAAGTGGTGCATTGGAGAGATTAATTTTTTGATTTTCCTTGTAGTTTTCTTGGTAGTTTCAATAACTATCACAAGTTTATGGCACCATAAAAATATTTAAAATCTGTAGTGACGGTTTTTTTATAAAAGCACTGCAAGTTCATAAATTGATAAAAACCATATCAATAATATTATATTTGATACGATTTATTTAATTTATATTGAGTTTTAATTGTACGGGTTTGATTTTTGACGATTTTTTTTTTTACTATAAAATATTTAAACAGGCTATCCCATGAAGATATACCCCTTGAATATCTTTGGAGATAATAAAGATTATCAAATTCGAATTATTTTATATTACTCACAGAGATGAAGACTAGAAATATTTATTTTTTAATTAGATTTTTTTTTTTTTAAATTAACTTTAATTTTATTATTTTCGGACAATTTTAAGACCGCTATTCTGTAAAGCTTGTTATTCTGAAAATTTTCCTAATGAGAAAAATGTTTTTAATGGACATCACGCACGTTGAATCTATAAGAGTACCGTGATGGTTTTAAAATAAATAAAGAAAGAAAAGTATAATATACCTCGTTCAAAAGAATCCATTTACGATCACAGTAATAGAGTTCAATTACTCTTAGATCACAGTAATACATCGTAAGATTTTAAATTACTTCAAATGATAAACGGGCGTACAACGATATCTTTAATATCTTTAACGTAGTTAAAATTTCATTTTTTTTTTTTTTTTTATTAAATTATATGTTATATAAAAATCAGAATAATATCATACAAATATTTATCTTCATATTTATGCCGAGAGTTGTATCATTTAGTATTATACAATTTTTCGCCTTAAATAAAATTATACTTATGTAGCCTACATAATGTAGGTAATAATATGTACATATATGTTTATAGGACAACGAAAAAGGTCATGTCACACGTTTTCCAATTTCTAATCTAATCTCTTTGGATGGATAGAAATATGATCTTTCCCTGCTGAAAAAATATGCGACTTTAAAAATACGGCCTGAATCGGGAAATACAACCTTTTTCATCGCGGTAGGCGAATTTTCCAGCAAAATGTTATACATTTTTCAAAACTTAATTCAAGACGGGATTTCGCATAACATACACAATTTTCTACGTTATATTCATGCTATAAATGAGTTTTAATAAATCGTTACTTAATCCAGTGGGGTATTTCGAGTGTTAGTAAGTGCACTGCATCAAACAGTTTTCAAATGTTGCAAAACAATACTTTTGCTACACTTAAAATATTCAGATCTGTAAGTGGGTAACATATTATTATTATCAAAAAGACGTCCTTGGATAATGGGAACGGGTGAAGCCACTGTTATAGATAACTTAATGTAAACCTATAAGCAACGATAAACCATTGCTCACGAAAAAACGATTCTGAGCGGAGTTCAATTGATAGTGATGCTTTGTCAACAATGCGTATTTTATTTTATAGTAAAATAATAAAATAAGCTTTATATATATATTGTTTTTAATAATAGTTGTTTAATGTCATACCGATTTTCCTAAATTGTCTACGTTTTTTCCGGTTTTCCCATGTTTTAAACTTGTTTTTCACATTTGCTGGAAAAAATCATAAGAAAATCGAAAAACGAGCTCTTTAATGTACCTCCCCACACCGATTTCCTTTCAGAAAAGGCGCTAGAAGTAGAAATCCGAGTAAGTCTTCTGATAGAAAAGTTGTTAACAGATAAAAAAAACCATCTTTGTAAAACCATAAGCTTCTTCGTTCCATTCAGAATCTAAAACAATAATAACGAGATTATCTAATTTTTATTTAATTTATTTTTATATTTATTTATTTTTTTTTATCTAATTTACGAAGATAAATTAATATGCCAAGCATAATCTATAATTTTCTGCAATAACCATTTGTGATAACTGATAAGATTACAACATGATTTTAGATAATGATCTATATCCGTGGCTAACACCTCGTACTATAATCGTGAATCGAAGAACACACCTTGAGGGCCTAATACTGTATGTGACCACGGTAAATATTGTGCTCATTGTCTTTTATGATTTTAAATGAAATATTACGAATATTTTGTTTGAAAAGTACCTATTATTTATTTTTTATAAAAAATATGAATTTAAAATTTAGTAATAAAAAGATAAGACCCTCTATAATTTTTTCAAAACATTCATTTTTAATTCTTTTAAGTTTATACTTCATAATTTATACTTATATATATATATACTTTATTACTTATTATTAGACACAAAAGAAAAAAGAAATAACAGGATAACAAAATACTAAATAATCTATTCAATTGCACAATTAGAGGACAAGAAAAAAATGTTTGTTGAAAAAATTTAAAAAAAATGTTGGACCCACCTCCTCTCTCATAAGATCCTCATTGATCACATAACAAATTTTATAACACCGAAAATTTTAACCCAGTCACGCCACTGACTTGATCGATAAAATAATATAATTTTTGCATATTTCGGGCGTTAGTACCTATTATTAATTAAAATTAATTTGTCTGCATATCATTAGTATAAAATATTATTTAATTACTAAATATTTACAAATATTTTACTTAATTTAAACTTTGATTTTTTGATTATATAGATATTTTATTGTTTGATATTACTTATATTACATATTTAGATTATTATCAACGCGTGCATATAAATGGCAGCTTTGAAAGTGAGGCAAGCCAGGTAATACCTCACCTAAACTGGTTAAAATTTTGAAACAAATAATACTCAATGAGTATATCTTAAGCCATTGGAAGAAATATATCAACATGGAGGCAACGGTTGACTTTTTTTTATTATTATAACACAATTAGAAAGCAAATTTAACTCATGCAGCCCCACCAAATCGCCAATGATATTATCATTGACGGATTACCTGAAAAAAAACATGAACATTGTTTACATATAGTGCAACAAATTTGTAAAGAGTTAAAAATAAGTTTAACTGATTCAATGATAAACGATTGTCATAAAATTGGATTTAACCGCAATGACTTATTGTATGTAACATTCTGTTATCGATTATAATTGTGGCCACAAGCGCGACCCCTTGCGAACTCCCAATTGCGCTACTGACCGGACATTGTAACAATAATGAAGATTAAAAAGATTAGGTGGGCTGGAACTTACATAGCACGTAGAAGGACAACTGAGTACTGGACAAGATTGGAGACCCTTAGGACGATCAAGACAGCAATGGTTAAATCGTGTTTATCTAAACCTGAATTTGATAGGGGTCAATAATTCAGAAGAGATGGCAAAATATAGAGAACGATGAGAAGAAAATAAATGATAGTTTCGACAAGGGACCTAAATGGTCTGTATTAAGCAAAAAAATAAATAAATAGATATGCACATACTTCGCACGATGCACGATGGGTGGGCAACTGTTATAGGTGATAAATTGAGAAGGTTGGATATAGAAGGGAATTTAATGTATATCTGTACACAAAAATTAATCTTTGCTAATGAAAACCAATTCTGAGCGAAGTTCGGTTGTAAATGTTTTAAAAGGCCGTGATATTTATGATTTGAAAATAATGCATTTGATACATTTTACCGTTTTTCCTACGTTTTTTCCCGGTTAAAATACAATACATGTTACATATAGATTACAAATATAATTTTCAAACACTGCCCACATAAATAATTAACACAAAGTAATTTGCTGTACAATATTTACATTTTTATATTTAAAAAATAATAATATTTAACATTTTTAATCAATATTTGTCATTTTATATAACTGCAATCTATTTTACAATTAATTTCGGTGTCACTGTAAATCAAGTTTGATTATTTTAATTAATTTAGTTACAGTAAATATTATAATGTATTACAATTGAGTACTTACATAAATATTGTGAAATCACGTATAATTAGAATCTCTAATTCGACGTTTATGCTGATTCCCACGGACGTTTAATATCAATCAAAAAGATAATACAGCCTTTTTGTTTGTTTTTTATATCTTTAAAAAAAAGACGATATTTGTATGTCCCGTAAAACATTTGTTTTGGAAAACTACCCTTTGCAATAGCATTTGTTAGATCAAAACCCTTTGTTATAAAAACTCCCTAAACAAAGTTATTATGTTAACACTATAATGATCAAATTGTTAAAATATTAAAGGTAATATATTATTTACCGGAGACCATGGGCATTCACTTAAACGAAAACTATTTAGAATTACAGGCCACGAATTACCAGCAAAATTCTTCATTGTTGTACATGCTTTGGAAGTTTGATAGACATACGCATTATCTTTCCAACCACCGATTGAATCTTTGACGGCCATATTAACATGATACTATAAGACAATTTTTATTTTTACAATACTAAATCAATTCTAGTTTAAACTGTAATTGTAATAACAGTAATAAATAATTGCATTGCGTAAATAGTAATAAGTATTCATAAATAGGTACATAAGGTATATTTTTTTTAAATCCGAAGGTTGGTTCACAACTCCAATTCTCCAATTTGACCGATAACTCGCTGTTTCTTTGAGCTCTTTAAAAGTATTGATACTTGCATCACATTTAATTTGTCCTGTATAAGAGTTTCGAAGACGTCCTGAAGTTCCCTTAATTTCATTCATGTCCTCTAATATTATATTATGCCACTCGTCTGGGTGTTTCTGAGCATGCCCCACCATTTTCGCATTTATAAACATACGTTTTTCTTCCATAGTTTTAAGTACCTATTCGTTGGTTTTTCTCTCCGTTCAACTAATTTTTTTCATATAGGTCGGTATAGGTATACATAAATATGTGTTCGTCGAATACTAATGAATTAAATGTATCAATAATTATTATCCACTAATTCCCGTCTTTACTATTAAGCATTAAATAATACTATTTCTAAAACATTGACAATTTGTTTTTTCTTTACTTACAGATAAAGTATCATCAAATGGTATAAGATTAGTTATATTTCCATTAAGCATAGTAACATTACTTGATATTTTATTCAAATAAAAATTCATCTGTAAATCATTTACCCTAGATTTATTACAAAACAGAATTGCTTTGAAATCAACTCTATATTCGCCCTAAAATAGTAGTTAATAAATAAATAATTCAAAATGTACGTAAAATAATTTTTATTGTAAACATACCAATGGTAAATTCGGATAAAAATCAATAACTTTTTTTTCGGATACCACACAAGATGAAAGTATTAAAATAAATATTACCGGACTGTACATGATATTTGTTTCTTCAATGTATAATATTTTCATTAAAAATGGTATCATGTCATTGAAAATTTAAATTTGCATGTGCCTCTATTTATGGATTAAGTAAACAATGGGTGCATTAATGATATCAATTTCGCATTTAAATTTGCTATGCACAATTGTTATTACCTATGTCAAGGTAGTTATTTAAATTATCTATCTATTTCATAAATCAGAAAAACCTTTTTTTTTATTTAATAACCTTAATTTAGTAATAAGTTTTTACTGTTTTATAACTGTCTACCCCACCACAAGTTCAGCTTAAAGGGATAGGTAATTTTCGTTATACTTGTATATTAGAACGTTTTAATATTTAATAAATTCTCTCTTCTCTCTAAAAAAAAAAAAAATATCAAAATAAAATTACCTCATAGAAGATCCAAAAATGTAGTAGGTAAATAAATACAACTTTAGAAGTAGTAGGTAATAAATACAACTTAAATCTAGTATCTAATGATTGACACTCTATATTTGATAATCTTGTAGATGATCAGTGTAAATATTTGAGTATTATAAGTCATACAAATAGCATAATATCAATATTATTTCGACATCACAATGATAATAGATGGAGTTCATCGTGCCACTACACATAAATATTCCTACCAAAAAAGTAAACACAATAATTCAATTTGTATTACTTTTTTCCTTTTCAATTCAGAGAAACCGTTTCATAATAGTACCCAATATCCATTATTGGTGGTTTGTTATTTAAGTGGAATAGACCAAACAACAAATAAAAGCTGCCATTCAGTTAGTTTACACGCATTCGATTAATTTGAATATAGAGTAACAATCCTTTATGCGAATCTATATTTACGAAATTTAAGTCTCGTAGATTTATCATAGTATAGTCCATATTTTCCTTAAAGAGCTACAAAACAGTGGTATCATTATGGACATTATGTAAACTACAATAAAAGGCAAATTGCAAATGGATACGTAAACATTAAAATACATGGCCTGGTAAATCCAATAAAATTAGTTAGGCCCGTGTGCAAGATTTTTTCATTGGGAACTAGGAAGGAGGGACAGATTATGAAAAAACCGTGTAAAATACAAATACATCAATTATTAGTAAGATCAAAAGTCAAAAACATATTTTTTCATTTCTCGACCACACATTACACTTCAGGAGTCTTGCAGGAATAATTTTACTTTTAATTCGATGAAACCAATAACTGTCAATGACATAGATCAAAAAAAAAAAAAAGGCAAATTAGATGTTTGAACCATCAAACCCCCTCTCTCCTTACGGACGGGCCTGAAGTGGGTTCAGTTTGCTGATTATATTGAAATTCTGATGACAGCCTGTTATGTAACTAAACCATACCTAATAATTTAATATAGCTCTACGGAGTACAATCAATTTTAATAGTATTCTCATAATGTTTTGTTTTTTTTTTTCAATTTATGATGTACTAAAAATATCAAATTAATCACATTCGTACAACTTTATTATTTCCAATAAGACAATAAGTATACAATTTCTTATAATTGCATAAATGGGTAGAACCGTTATTGTCTATTTTATAATGTCCATTTTGAGCAAGACTATTATTTTAGTAACTAATATAAAACGAAATTGTTTATCAGTAATAAATGAAACGTGAAAAGTGATAAATTATTACTTTTAATTTCTAAAAATATTATTATATGTAAAATATATGCAAATATTGTATTAAAACATAAAACCAACAAATAATTGCAATGGACAAGATCAAATTAAAAAGTAAAACACAAAAATATATCTATACCTAGTGGCCTCCACTAAGTATCTGTGTTCAATTCAACTAGGGAGCTAGGATGCTAAATGTTAACCACGGAACTGTGGTGTAGAAAGATAAATATGTAGTTAATGTTAATTAAACAATTTCGAGAGGCACGTTACAGTGTCCCTCTGACTATATGCCACTGGTTCCCAAAAAAAATTTGCAATTCCGAGACATACGAGTATAATACTCTAAAATCAACACTCTCATATACTGTCCCTCTTGCTGACTCCAATATGGATAAGTGTAAACTATTAAGATAACCTCGATTACCAAAATATTGTGCATTGTTCGTAAGTGTTCGCCTGTACCGTAGCCAGAAATAACTTTGGTGGGGTGGAGGGGCATTAATCATTTTTATATTATCTACTATTTATTTTTACGATAAAAAAAACCAATTAAAAAAAAAATTAGCTGACACACCTTTCCCCCAGGCTAACACACTGATACCTACTATTCTGAAGAGTTTACAGTCCCCGTTTCCGAAAAATTCCGTACTTTCGAAGTATCACTTTATAGATACATAATATATTCAAATTTACTTGATAACTTAAATGTTTATGAAACGATGGTGTTCTCACTCATTACGTAGGTAGACTAGTGGTTAGGGCGTTAGGCAAATTAAGTTAATGTAGGGTAGGGTCACAAGTTCGAAACCCGGCGGCGTATTCCGAAACGGTATCGTTTTTTTTTTTTTTATTTTACTTGTTTCTATATTGGTTTTTCAATATTATATACTTTTTGTGACTGGGTAAATTCTATACATTATACAATATTAAACGAATACATGGTATAAACGTTTTTATTAATGTCAAGTTATTTCGCATATAATATTTATAAAATAATAATACCACGATAGTAGTAACTGGTAATTGTGTAAAAATTTGAAAATAAAACACTGTTTTTGTCGTTCACAATTTTGATAGTTATAGGGTTCGTTATATCATATTAAAATTCATAACCTTTTTGAACGTATTCCTCAGAAAAACTTATAATGTGATATTACCTATATTGACCGAGTTGTTAAAACATAATGATATATTATTTACTAAAGACAATGGATATTCACTTGTGCCTAACCGATTCAGAACCTAAGGCAATGGAAAACTACTCATTGTTTTACATGCTTTGGGGTATTGATAGACATACGCATTGTTTTTAAAATCACCAGTTGAAATTTTGATAACCCTATTTAAATACATCTGTAAACAATCAATTTTACGAATTTTTTTTTCAATATTAAATAATCATATTTCTAAACAATTGAAATGTATTAGTTTTACTATGACGTGTGATTTTTCTTTTTGTAAATTATCAAAAATGCTGTTAGCTTTTGTTTTATTGTTATTATTCGGTTGAAAATTATTGCAGAGACCTGATATTTTTACAAAGTAATTATATTATTCTTTTCTGAACGTGATCGAATTTTCGAAAACATTCTGTTGATTTTTAAGTTTATCATAGACATTTGACATTTAGATCAAAAAAATCACAGTATTTTAAAACAAGTTTTACCGTACTTTGCTCAGAATTGTATTTTGTTAGCAATTATTTATAGTTGCTTACAGATATAAATTATACAACTTTATAGTGTATGTACAATGTATCCAACCTTCCGAACTTCCCACCTATAAGCACCCATTAGCAATATCAGTTCTTTTTTTAGCTACATCAAATGATTCGAATGGTTTTATAAAAGTTATTAAATTGCTTCTGAATGTATAATTATTACTTGATATTTTACTAAAACAAAAATAGAATTTAAGTTAAATTTAATTAAACTTAGAATTATTACCTATCGATTAATTGCGATATGTTAAATTTCGCAATAAACTCCATATTTTCCATAAAATAAAACCTAGTAAAACTTAATTAGTTAAAAGTTTTCAAATAGTATTCGATCCACTGGTATTGCGCACTATATATAAAATTATTATTATAAATATGATTATAATCAATTTACTGCTGGTCAACTGGAAACGAAATTTCAGACTTTTTTCGGATTTCACAGAAATAATAAACGCATTAAGATAAATTTAAAAAACCCTTCATGTTTCTTCAGTACCTATAGGTTATGTGTCAGTAGTACCATCAGAAATACACTAGGAGTCGAAAACATAAACTGTACTCCTCTATACATCGATTACATTAACAATACACTTTTTTTTTTAACTTGCACCTATCTATTCCGGCAATCACGCCATTATCATATTATTAATATCAAAGAAAATTATATCAACGAACAGTTGAACATGCTAGCGGTAGTAAACACAATTTAAATCTGGTGTTTATTTTTCATGTTCGCATCGATGATCTGCATCAATATTTGATTACCATTACGCAACATAACAACAGTGATACTATCAAAAACGATAAACGACGGAAGTGTCACACAGATAAACACATATCCATAGATGCCGAAAATAGACAAAATGACAATAGAAAATTATAATATTATCATTGTATTCCGACATATTATACTGGTAGAATGTCAAAAATATAATTCATTCCAATACAAAAATATATACGGAAAAAATATTTTGGCCGTTTTCGAGTTCTTTGAAGTTGTCCTTATATGTGCTATTTTTTAGTCATTCAAACATTTTTATTATTCATTCGATTTATGTAAATACAATTCATTAGCACTTATATGTCGAGATTTATCATAATGTATAGGTT